AGCTGTATGAGAACGTGCTAACCACCTTTTTGCAAACCCCTGTGGCCCGGGAAATCGCACACCCCTGTGGCCCGGGAGCGTTTTGGACACTCCTCTCTGGAAATTGGGAATAAGAAATCAAAATAATAGGGTGAAAAATAATCGAATCACAATACAATAATAATTAATAATAATGCATTTTTATATAGAAATCACAATACAATATAACTTTTAATCTTTGTTTGAGGATTTACGGCATTTACATTCAACTGTTACACATTTTACAAATCTGATGTGCTTAGATTTAGCCTACGGTACATGGCTGATGTGAGCTGTATTTTTTCTTAATAATAAGCATCATACAGGGTAGGCCTAGGCTACAGTCCTGAAACTTACCAATAGCATTGTGCAGCCTGTGTCCGAAACATCCAAGGTTTGCCCACTTGTTCAGCTGCAATGCCTTGATCATGTTCGATCCGCTGTCGGTCGTCATACAAACTTGACGCGACTCTTTTAATCCCCAGGACGACAGTATGTCCCTCAGCCCACCTGCAATTATTTCCCCGGTGTGGTCGTCTGGGAAATAAGACGTCTGTAGGCACTTACTTTTCAGTTTCCAGTCACCGTCTATGTAATGGATTGTGAGGCTTATATAAGGTTCTGTGGTACGACTTGACCATAGATCGGCAGTAGTGGAGAAGAATGGAATGTTATTTATCTCACTGTAAACTCTGTCCCAGCATTCTGTGTAAAGCTGTGGCAGGCATTTTTGGCTAAAATATTTGCGGCTCGGGATCTCATATCTTGGGTCCAGAGTTTGAATCAACTTTCTGAACCCCTCTTTCTCCACAGTTTGAATCGGTACCATGTCCTTCGCTATGTGATTTGTAATCGCAGCTGTGATGTCTATCCATTTTTTGCTCGTCTTCTCATAGCAAGTACCGGCAGCAAATGATGATATAATTGATTGTTGAGTGCGAGTCTGGCTTGTCTTCGGGCGAGCTCCTGGGCTTACTGTCTCACGCATTCTGGTGCATTGTTCATACTCACGGACATGTATGTTTTTTAAGTGATTGAACAGGTTGGTCGTGTTTCCACCTTTTGCTAAGACAACACGACGACACAACTTGCATAGGGTAGTGTTTTGGTCGGGGTCGGAGATTTTAAAGCCAAACCAGTTCCAAACAACAGAGGTGCCCCCTTTCTTCTTAACCAATTTATCCTCCTGCTCTTGAGCAACATCAATTTCTGTGTTTTCGCTCATCCTGGATTGTAAAGTTTTCCCCCAATAGTTAACCTGCCTCCTAACTGCAGCTGCCTGCACACTTCTTTGTTGCTAGCACTACATGCGTGCAACAAGTGCATGCGACGTGCGCTCATAAAAATAGGTCAACATATTAACATACATTCTTTTATTCGTAAGAACCAAGAAAGGTTGGATAAAAAAAAAAAAAAAAAGATGTAGCTACTTAGTACTATCACTCAGTTGAAATTTGGAACAAAAAAATATTGATGCAAAATTCGAATTTATGAATTCTGAATAAATCGCGGTATCCATGATATTGCTAAATCCATATCATGGCGCGGCACAATACCGGTTTTTACTATCAAACCGGTATATCGCCCACTCCTACTAGTCACCGTACCCCTACACATATCTACAATACCGTTCCAAATTTTGGGGTCACTTAGAAATGTCCTTGTTTTCGAAAGAAAATCAATACAGTGTAGACATTGTTAATGTTGTAAATGGCTATTGTTGCTGGAAACTGCTGATTTTCATTGGAATATCTACATAGGCACACAGAGGCCCATTATCAGCAACCATCAGTCCTGTGTTCCAATGGCACATTGTGTTTGCTAATCCAAGTTTATCATTTTAAATGGCTAATTGATCATTAGAAAACCCTTTTGCAATTATGTTAGCACAGCTGAAAACTGTTGTGCTGATTAAAGAAGCAATAAAACTGGCCTTTGTTGAGACTCGTTGAGTATCTGGAGCATCAGCAAATGTGGGTTTGATTACAGGCTCAAAATGGCCAGAAACAAATCACTTTCTTCTGAAACTCATCAGTCTATTCTTGTTCTGAGATGTGAAGGCTATTCCATGCGAGAAATTGCCAAGAAACTGAAGATCTCGTACAACGCTGTGTACTACTCCCTTCACAGAACAGCACAAACTGGCTCTAACCAGAATAGAAAGAGGAGTGGGAGGCCCCGGTGCACAACTGAGCAAGAGGACAAATACATTAGTGTGTCTAGTTTGAGAAACAGACGCATCACAGGTCCTCAACTGGCAGCTTCATTAAATAGTACCCGCAAAACACCAGTCTCAAAGTCAACAGTGAAGAGGCGACTCCGGGATGCTGACCTTCTAGGCAGAGTTGCAAAGAAAAAGCCATATCTCAGACTGGCCAATAAAAATAAACGATTAAGATGGGCAAAAGAACACGGACACTGGACAGAGGAAGATTGGAAAAAGTGTTATGGCCAGACGAATCGAAGTTTGAGGTGTTCGGATCACAAAGAAGAACATTTGTTAGACACAGACCAAATGAAAAGATGCTGGAGGAGTGCTTGATGCCATCTGTCAAGCATGGTGGAGGCAATGTGATGATCTGGGGGTGCTTTGGTGGTGGTAAAGTGGGAGATTTGTACAGGGTAAAAGGGATCTTGAAGAAGGAAGGCTATCACTCCATTTTGCAACGCCATGCCATACCCTGTGGACGGCGCTTGATTGGAGCCAATTTCCTCCTACAACAGGACAATGACCCAAAGCACAGCTCCAAACTATGCAATAACTATTTAGGGAAGAAGCAGTCAGCTGTTATTCTGTCTATAATGGAGTGGCCAGCACAGTCACCGGATCTCAACCCTATTGAGCTGTTGTGGGAGCAGCTTGACCGTATGGTACGTAAGAAGTGCCCATCAAGCCAATCCAACTTGTGGGAGGTGCTTCAGGAAGCATGGGGTGAAATCTCTTCAGATTACCTCAACAAATTGACAACTAGAATGCCAAAGGTCTGCAAGGCTGTAATTGCTGCAAATGGAGGATTCTTTGACGAAAGCAAAAGTTTGAAGGACACAATAATTATTTCAATTAAAAATAATTATTTCTAACCTTGTCAATAACTACATGTCCTATGCATTTTGCTATATTTCCTATTCAAACACATTTCATGTATGTTTTCATGGAAAACAAAGAGACCCCAAACTTTTGAATGGTAGTGTACCTCCATCACTCCAGTATCCCTGCACATGTAAATATGGTATTGGAACTTACTTTTTAAATATTTCCTTTATATAGTGTGATTACTTTGTGTATTTCATATTTCCTATTCTTATTTATTGTGTTTTTTTATAGTAATATGTTGTTATTGATTATTGCATTGTTGGGTTTTGAGTTTGCAAGAAAGGCATTTCACTGTACTTGTGCATGTGACATTGAAACTTGAAAAAAAAAGAAACTCGCCACAGGTTGTGTATCAACTGAGTCCCTTCTTTGGTCATGAGTTGTCCCGGTTACATGTGTCTATTGGTCATGTGTTGTCCCGGTTACATGTGTCTATTGGTCATGAGTTGTCCCGGTTACATGTGTCTATTGGTCATGAGTTGTCCCGGTTACATGTGTCTATTGGTCATGAGTTGTCCCGGTTACATGTGTCTATTGGTCATGAGTTGTCCCGGTTACATGTGTCTATTGGTCATGAGTTGTCCCGGTTACATGTGTCTATTGGTCATGAGTTGTCCCGGTTACATGTGTCTATTGAAAATGGAATGGGTGGCAAAAAGGCGAACCTGTTATGGTCTTTGCCTTTCAAATCGGACATGGTCTTTGACATTCAGCACCTCACTTACCCCACTCCTACACCCTCATATGTCTCGGCACGACCCTGAACCACCTCATGACTTATAGCTCACCTCAGGTTGTATAGACCAGACAGATAGTCAGTGACACTAAGCCTCACAAAATGATACAGCCACTGGGCTGAATCAGCGCTATCACAATGACTCAAACAATAGCATTGACTCCCAGGAAGGTATAACCTCACTAAGACACCTTCACCTCTGGCTCAGGCACAACGACAGAAGATGGAATCACTAAGGCGGAACAGACAGCACACACACAATCAAAGGATATTCAGAGCATTACAAAAGCCGACTGCAGGGAAAATCATCAAGGGTACAAAAGGGCTAAGAGCGAGTCTAACAACACGTACACACGCGCGCACACACACCTGAGCAGCTCCAATGCAACTCTTTACCAATCTGCCCCCATGCCTTTCCAGGACAGAGCTGATAAGACAGACAGATACTGCAGGACTGACAAAGAACAAGACCTTGAAACTTACAGGAGAACAAGTGGGAGTCAAAGCGTGAATAGAACTTTTAAATCCTTCATAGAACTTTAAATCCCCCATAGAATAGCCCGTAGAAGTTAAAAGCATAACCCATAAAACTTTACAATCGGCCATACAAATGCCCATAGAAGAACTATACCAAAGCTACTGCCGTTACACCATTATGGCCTTGGATCACAAGTTAAAGCACCATCTCATCTCAAAGGTGTACAGTAGAAGTAAAAATAAAAGCATAATTTCAGTCCCTTGGATTATGCACGGTGGCCACTGGCCAGATGGCTGAGTTTAGTTCCCCATCAGCTATTCATATGGCATCGTTAGAACAACACCGCAGATGTTTCACTGCCTGCTTTCTCAGATGGAGTTCATTACCACAGAGCTGTGAACTGTGTTTAATTTTTATTTTTTTTAAGAGGATGTCTTTATTTTAGCAAGGTGAGACAGGGAGGTCTTGTAACCCAAAGCAATGATACAGGGTCAGATATCTTTCACACCAAATGGTTTAGTTCAGGATTGGGCTGCACCTATGTGGTTGAGTGGTAACATTCCTACACAAATCACATATCAGAGCTTCAAAGGTTGTGGGTTCAATGATCCCTACGACCACCATTCCTACAGGCATCTGATCTTAAATCTGTAATTAATATCCAGCAACATACCAAGGTCAGTGTTGGGTCCAGCCAGGACCTGTCTGAACTTGTCCAGGCGGGAGGCCTCTCTCTCTGTCATGGCTGGGGTCCCGGAGGTGTTTTGGTCAGCCATACGAGCCACCATGGGGATGGTGGGCCGGTGGGGAAGGGACTGCTGTCTGTGGAGCGACGCTCTCTCTCCGGCCGCATCTGGATAAACAGAGAGAGGGGAGATATACTGAGAACAATAAACACGCAGACACACACACAAAGATGCACACACGCAAAAACACACAGACAAACATGCACACCTGTTGCAAGCACCTTTCCTCCGAGCACACTCATTGAAAACACACGTCACACAAACAGACACACAAACACTGTGTAACCCAACCACCTTTCTCCACTCCAGCAACAGCAAACCCCCATTACAGACAATTACAGGGCAGAGTAGAGTTTGTTCCCAGCAACAGAAGATAGAGGTCAGTGGAGGACACTCAGAGAGGGTGTAGAGTGCTGCAGGGACGAGGTCAGGCCACTCTCTGTCTGTCTGTCTGTCTGTCTGTCTGTCTGTCTATCCATTAGCAGAGAGCAGCCTGAGTGCAGGCTGGGTGCTGATGCCTAATGATAGCCTTGCAGTGGGCCATTATCTAATGTAGGACCAGGCAGCTGGGTCCACAGACAGACAACAACACATCAGAAGGCAGGGAGGAAGAGAAGAGAGAGCGTGGAGGGAGGGGAGTGCCAGGTTAGACAGACGGGAGTGTAGAGTTGGGGGTAGAGAGGAGCTACCAGACAGACACAACAAGATTATAGTGATGTGACTAAAGGAAAATGAACACCAAGGTTTTATGTGATGAGTTGAGCTCAAGGCGGCAGCTTGATTTGAACACAGCATGCAAAGGGGAGTGTGTGAGTACTATCACTTCGTGCAGACAAAGAACAAGAAGAGAGGGGGTAGCTATTCAGGCACTGCATTATCACCATGATTGATCATTTACCCAAACACTACAGTAGACTCAATAATAGAGAGCAGAACAATCAGAGACAATATGTGGTCTCGCCCAGCAGGAAGGGGAGTGTGTGAGCAGTGGGCAGTGTGTGTGCGTGCGTCGGACGTGCGCGTCTGTCTTCGTGCGCGTGTGTGTGTACTGAACAACACAGATGAATGGAGCAGACAGTGTCTCCTCCATGGAGATAACTACTGGAGTTAGGGCTGCTACAGGCTGCTGTCTTATCTCCGGCACCACCACAGACAGACAGCAGGCAGCTGTTCCCTACTACACAACACAACACAAACCCCACCCTCTGCTGCTATTGCTGTTACCACACTAACGAATGAACATGAAAAGCCTAGCAGGCTCATAGCAGAGGCAGAGGAAATATTGTGTATAGAAGGAGTGGGTGGAGACTGGAGACAGAGGAGAGGATGGACTCTATGGAGTGGGGTTCCTCCTTTCAAGATTCCTTCCTTGTTAGGCAGTTGTTCCACACATCTGTCACTTCCCCTGACAATCACATTTGTTTGTCTGTCGATTGATGGATAGAGAGAGGGAGCGAGACAGAGAGAGGGGAGAGAGAGACCGAGAAGAGAGAAACGTGCAACAGATGTCTACTTACCCTTAGGTGATCCGATGGGGGCCTCACTCAGTGACTTCACCAGTCTGCCATCGCCGAGCGGGCTGGGCTCAGAGGCAAACGACACCTCGGGGGTCGATTCCTCCCCTTCCTCTTCCTCTTCTTCCACCTCTTCCTCATGCGCCTCCTCTTCCTCTCTCTCCTCCAGCTCTGACGCGTCGGCATCGTCCTGTCTCTGCTTCTCCTGCTGCTTGCTGTGGTTCTCAATCACCTGCATAATGATAATAACAATATATTTATTTTCTTACTCCTTAAAAACTGCTTAATGTATTATAAGAGCTTATGTTAATAGAAAAAGGGCTTATGAGTTGTATGTTCACATCATACAAATCACCTTGTTGGCGGTTTCCATGACGACCTCAATGTTGAGGTTCTGTGCGGCCATGGCGAGCAGCTCGTCGTCATCGTCCCCCACGTCCCAGGCATCGCTGGTGATGCTCTCAAACTCCTGGAAGGTGGTGGCTTTCTTTGGCTTCCCTCCCGGTATCATCTGGGGCTTGTTGCCCGCCTTGATTAGACTGAGAGGGAGAAACATAAGGAGAAGTTTAGGATACAAGAAGTCATCCAAAACATTAAAGACGACATCAAAAGCCCAAAATGATACATGTATTTTCAATTCATGTGTGGTCCTCTGTAGCTCAGTTGGTAGAGCACGGCGCTTGTAACTCCAGGGTAGTGGGTTCGATCCCCGGGACCACCCATACACAAAAATGTATGCACGCATGACTGTAAGTCGCTTTGGATAAAAGCGTCTGCTAAATGGCATATTATATTATTATTTTAATTATTATGTTATTTTTAGCAGAAGGTGGAAGAGGTTGGTAATAACGGTGAATTGAAGGTCGGGTGAAAAACTTAGAAAGGATGAAAGATTAGGACTGGGAGCCAAATTCACTCTGGAAGGGCAACTTCACAAACATCCCTCAACTGTTCATTAGATGGCAGTAAGATTCAAATGCCAAATACGGTTTGTCAAAAAGTACCTACTTCAGCGAAAGAGCATACCCTTGTACTAAATTCAAATAATGCATGGCCGTTTTTGTTCCATTTTCACATTTTTCCATTTGCTCAATTGAGGGTCTTTTTTTAGGTTCTATTAGTAAAAGACTGCAGCTGTGCCCTTGATATCTACAGGCTACAGATGGATATTCTCACGTTGACGCAGCGAGCCAATGTTGAAAAGAACTGACTGACGATAATGTTGGAGAAAAAAACGGAATGACGATAATGAAAGAAATTAGACAATCACAAATATATTCCGCAAGGACAATCAATGAGTCAGCATCTATTAAAATTATTTCAAAAAGGTTATTGTAAAAGGTACACAATCATAGTGCAGATTAAATCAATTAAAAATACATTTTCTCACAAAATACCTTCCTTTGTGTATGAGAGACGTTTTCTTCAGAGAGAAAAATGTAATAAAAACCCAATTTAATTTATCATTTTTCCTCTAATGTCCATGAGACTGAAAATTGAAAAGCAGCGCGGGTGGAAGGAGAGAGGGAGGGGGGACCCTTCCTTTCCATCTTATTATTTCCATTCAAAACCAAGCATTAGCATAACAAAAGCAAAGCCAAGTTCAATATGACTCTACCTGTGACTAGGCCACTCCTGAAAGGTGATAAAACTATGGAAGTCAGCCTAACAATAACAAGTAAATGAAATATACCCCTTTGTGGACATCAGCCACATGATTAGACTTGCTGCACTTTAATCTCAACCGCAAAGCAACAAAAGCCTACTACTGAAGATCAGCTGCTTCATGTGTTTCCACTCCCTCCTTGTAAACCCACAACCAACAGTTGCGAGAATATACTTGGTATACTGGTATGTGAGCAGATGTGTGGAGTTTCAGAACTGTGCTAGACTGGACTGGGCTGGACTGTGCTGCACAGCTCAGAGAGCCAGTAAAGAGTTTACCTTGGATCTGTGTGAGTTAATCTAACAGATGTCAAATGGGGATAGGACAGATCCTAAACAAATATATAGCGGGTGTCAGGCAGCCTGAGAAGTAAGCCCTTCTAGGTGCCAGTGTCTCTGCATTACCATCGAAAAGGACCCATGAGCACCAACATGTGAAGTTCACAGGCGCATATAAAACTGTGTCAAATGAAAGCTAAGAGTATATATTTTGGAGAAATTAAGGCATAGATACATTTTTCAACCATTTTCCATCTTAAAGATGAGGCATGAGTAAAGGCTTTGATTTCTGGATAAACAAATGGAAAAGGAGTCTTAGGAAACATCTACCAGAAAAAGATATTAAACGGTATTTGAAATACATCAAAACACAATCATGTTGACGTATAGACCCCTGCCAACTAATATCAACACTTATATTTAATATTGGAGAAATTGTTTACCTTCTGTAAGTTTAAGAAATATTGTCTTGTGCCTTGTAATTCTGTTACCAAAAACTGACATATCTTTAAGATATTTTCAAATTTCTCTCCCTCATAAGGAGGGAGGATAATGAAAGTTCACAGAAGTAACAAGTAATGGTAGATTAGTTAGTGATTTTACTTATATATCAATTTTGTTTACTAATAATTAAGTGATTAAAACTCGTAATCCATTACCAAATTGGTAAAGGGATCACCCAAAAAAATCAGTAACGGAATTACTGCAACTGAATTGGCTACAATTGGAAATAATAAGTCACAAACCACAGTTGGGTCACCTTATATTTTCCTCCCTTCCACTGTCACACTGTTATGTTCAGCTCATAACTGATTTCTTTGTCTTTCAGTTGTCTGGTGGTCAAACCAAGAGTGTTAAAACAGTTTGAGTCCCAGTTAATGTCACCTCTTCCAGCTCTTACTGACACCTACCCATGATCCCCCTCTCTTATAATTTACTGTAACCAGCATCCTCACCCACTGAGCACCAACCAACACCGGACGTTCATGGACATTGAAAAGTAGTTCACATTTGGGCAGGCCACCCTGGCCTTGATGTTAACATCCACAGACAAAACGGACTTGACCAAATCATAGACATAAGTTTGGATAGCACAGTGCAGTACAGTTGAGTGAGTAGAGTACAGTCCAATACAGTAGTACAGTATAATATAGGACAGTACAATACAGTACTATACTTTACTGAACTCTACTCTGCTGTATTGTACTGCACTGTCCTCTGCTGCGCTGTAATGTTCAAACTTGTAAAATATGACGAGAATGACATTCATATCCATAATTATGCATTTCTGTGTAGTACAGATCAGGGACCCATGTTGTAATGTTATTACCATAATTCTGTTACCGGGTGTAAATCCACTTCACTTACTGTAGTTCAATAACCAAAATAAATAAATAAATAACTCAAAGTGCCATGTCATAGCTGACACCCCATTCTTTCTGCAGACATCTTTGAATCTTAATTCGGAGCAGATATTTATCAGAGTGTTTGGAAAATGTGGTCTCATAAAAACCTGAGTGAGATTTTACCATAGTTCCATTACCAAAGTCATTGTGCATAGATTTGTATGGTTTGGTCAACTTTGAAATCAATGTATTTTTTTTGTTTTGCATACATTTGAAAGTGAAAAAACTAAGTCAAAGCATAATTTTGTTACTGTGGAATTGCCCTTTAGCCAATTTGCTGTTGTCTTGGCAAGGCAACAATGTAGCTAGTGTTGATTAAACAGTTAAACAGCCAGGCTAAAGTGGCACGGCTATAATTCCTTATCCTCAATCAAGTCAAACGGGTGCTTAAAAAGACAGTAAAACAAGGACATGCAGTGTTTCTGTAATTACAATAGCCATAACGCATCGATCACACCGATAGCGTCATTGCGCAAAATGGTATGCAGCATCATCTGGATATGTTTGCAACAAAAGTTCAACATTCACCTTCTGCTACCATTTCTGTCAAGCTATACAATTTGATGCATACGTTCGATAAATACAATATATGCACCACACAGAACGCACTGCAACTGTCTCTGCAATGCAATGCTGCAAGAAAAACGCAGTGTTCCATTGGAAATTAATGTACTTCTGGTGTACAAAAATGCAATGTCGCTGTCGGTGTGTTTGAGGCGTAAGCAAGTTATAATAGCATTGCATTTTTGCCTCAGCATTTCCTGAAAGTTGTAAACACACCCAGTTTATTGACTAGATTTTCAGGTCAGTTCACTACTCCAACCTGAATGGCCATCTTAAATCCCCTATCAAAGGACCAAAGCTACCTACATACCAGAGAGCAACAGTCACCATTCATTAATTATAGAATATGTCCCAAATGGCACGTTAGGCCTCCTGTAGCTCAGTTGGTAGAGCATGGCGCTAGCAACGCCAGGATTGTGGGTTCGATTCCCATGGGGGGCCAGTATGAAAAATTTATGCACTCACTAACTGTAAGTCGCTCTGGAAAAGAGCGTCTGCTAAATGACTAAAATGTAAATGTATTCCCTATATTGTGCACTACTAGAAGGAAATGGGGTGCCATTTGGGACTCAGACATACTGTTGGGCCTATACAGTACAACTAATCAGACACTTACTTAGCATGCAGAAGAGGGTCGAAAGGAGGATGTTGAGCACCATACACATGTTGTATGCTGTGGAGAGGAAAGAAAACACAATGACCTATTGCTATGTTTTGACAAGAAATCTACTGAATTAATGTATTACTGTGTTATAGTGAACAGTGGATAACATGTCAGTCAACTAATGCCTTGATACAGTTAAAGTGCACTCCAATAATGAGCAAATTCATAGAGCATTAATGAGCAGACTAACTTTGGTTTACTCAGGTTTCATTTGAAAGCAGCTGTCAACAGTAGTTGGCAATGTGATGCCCCATTTGATTATCTGATGAGCTAGCTAGCCTAAATGTGAAGTTACTTGAAACTTGGCTACACATCAGAAAGAAGTTCAATAAGTCGTCTTGTTATTTCATTGTTTGTGTGTTTACAATACGCTCTGACAAAGAGTCAGTTCAATCAGAAAAGGCTTCTAGCTAGCTAAATGAAAACCCTAGTAAGTTAGCGAACTAGCTAGCTAGGAATGTTAGGAATTCCTAGCTAGGAATGTTAGCTAGGAATGAGCTAGCTGGTTAGCTAAGCTAGCTGTTTACCTATCCGACTAACTTATACTAGCCTTTAGCTAGCAAATGGCTGCTGATGTGTTCTCTGCACTCACTGTCGCAAGAGTATGCGCACGTTTGACAAAAGTATGACATAAAGCAAGAAATCATTGTTGATATGTGAAAAATAAAATGTTAACGTTACAGTCAGTGTGAACTGTATTTTCAGATTCAATAGTGCAACGTAGCTAGCTATCAAGCTAACAAGCAGAGAGCAAATGTAGCTAGCAAGAAGGAACACGTCACTTACCTGCCAGGCACCTTAGCTGTGTTTCTTTTCCAGAATTGTTTCTTGTTTCCATCAGTTGACATTTTCTTTCCCCGGTACAATATGTCATATACACAAAAATCCGAGTGTTGTTAGCTATAGTTTTTAAAACGTCTAACGTGTGTTTATTTACACCTAGTTCCCTCCTCCAAAACTCAGAAAGTCGCCATGTTCGATCTGAAGTCCTCTGAGCAAGCGCTGCAGGGATTGGTCCGTTTCACATTGCCCAGCCATCGCCCAATCACAAGTACGATCTACAGTAAGTGATTTGAGACGCGTGTTGACGTCAGCTTCCACTGGTGTCAGTTGCTGCATTCATGTGCTAGTCGGAACTAGAAACTCTGAAATGTCCGACTTACTAACAGGTTGTAGTAATATACGAGCCGCATTCGAAGAATCAGCAAGTCGGAAATGTCCAAGTTCCCACCAGCTTTGTGAACGCGTCAAGTGTCGCGGAGATATAATGCCGCGTTTCACGTCCTTGTCGGAACTAGGAATCTCGGAAATACCCGACTTCATTGAACGCAGCACGTCATTAACTACAACCAGTTAGCAAAAAAGTATTTAGTCAGCCACCAATTGTGCAAGTTCTCCCACTTAAAAAGATGAGAGAGGCCTGTAATTTTCATCATAGGTACACGCCAACTATGACAGACAAAATGAGGGAAGAAAATCCAGAAAATCACATTGTAGGACTTTTAATGAATTTATTTGCAAATTATGGTGGAAAATAAGTATTTGGTCAATAACAAAAGTTTCTCAATACTTTGTTATATACCCTTTGTTGGCAATGACACAGGTCAAACGTTTTCTGTAAGTCTTCACAAGGTTTTCACACACTGTTGCTGGTATTTTGGTCCATTCCTCCATGCAGATCTCCTCTAGAGCAGTGATGTTTTGGGGCTGTCGCTGGGCAACACGGACTTTCAACTCCCTCCAAAGATTTTCTATGGGGTTGAGATCTTTGCCCCACTTGAGCGTTCACGTCCTTGTCGGAACTAGGAATCTCGGAAATACCCGACTTCATTGAACGCAGCACGTCATTAACTACAACCAGTTAGCAAGTCGGATATTTCCGAGTTTCCTAGTTCAGACTAGCACTTGAAAGCGGTATAATATGAACGGTCAGTGTGGATGACAGATGATAATTTTATGTATAGGCGGCAGGAAGTCTAGTGGTTAAGAGCGTAGGGCCAGTGATTGAAAGGTCGCTGGTTCGAGTTCCCGTGCCAACTAGGTGAAACATTTCGATGTGCCCTTGAGCAAGGCACTTTAACATAATTACTCCTGTAAATTGCTCTCGATAAGAGCTTCTGCTAAATGACTAAAATATA